GCGACCTTCCTGATCTATTCCTAGCGACCTTCTTGATCTATTCTTAGCGACCTTCTTGATCTATTCTTAGCGACCTTCTTGATCTATTCTTAGCGACCTTCTTGATCTATTCTTAGCGACCTTCTTGATCTATTCTTAGCGACCTTCCTGATCTATTCCCAGCGACCTTCTTGATCTATTCTTAGCGACCTTCTTGATCTATTCTTAGCGACCTTCTTGATCTATTCTTAGCGACCTTCCTGATCTATTCCTAGCGACCTTCTTGATCTATTCTTAGCGACCTTCTTGATCTATTCTTAGCGACCTTCTTGATCTATTCTTAGCGACCTCTCTGATCTATTCTTAGCGACCTTCTTGATCCATTCTTAGCGACCTCCCTGATCTATTCTTAGCGATCTTCCTGTTCTATTCTTAGCGACCTCTCTGATCTATTCCTAGCGACCTTCTTGATCCATTCTTAGCGACCTTCTTGATCTATTCTTAGCGACCTTCTTGATCTATTCTTAGCGACCTTCTTGATCCATTCTTAGCGACCTTCTTGATCTATTCCTAGCGACCTTCTTGATCTATTCTTAGCGACCTTCTTGATCTATTCTTAGCGACCTCTCTGATCTATTCTTAGCGACCTTCTTGATCTATTCTTAGCGACCTTCTTGATCTATTCTTAGCGACCTTCTTGATCTATTCTTAGCGACCTTCTTGATCTATTCTTAGCGACCTTCTTGATCTATTCTTAGCGACCTTCCTGATCTATTCTTAGCGACCTTCTTGATCCATTCTTAGCGACCTCTCTGATCTATTCCTAGCGACCTTCTTGATCCATTCTTAGCGACCTTCTTGATCTATTCTTAGCGACCTCTCTGATCTATTCTTAGCGACCTTCTTGATCTATTCTTAGCGACCTTCTTGATCTATTCCTAGCGACCTTCTTGATCTATTCTTAGCGACCTTCTTGATCTATTCTTAGCGACCTCTCTGATCTATTCTTAGCGACCTTCTTGATCCATTCTTAGCGACCTTCTTGATCTATTCCTAGCGACCTTCTTGATCTATTCTTAGCGACCTTCTTGATCTATTCTTAGCGACCTCTCTGATCTATTCTTAGCGACCTTCTTGATCCATTCTTAGCGACCTTCCTGATCTATTCTTAGCGACCTCTCTGATCTATTCTTAGCGACCTTCTTGATCCATTCTTAGCGACCTTCCTGATCTATTCTTAGCGACCTCTCTGATCCATTCTTAGCGACCTTCTTGATCTATTCTTAGCGACCTCTCTGATCTATTCTTAGCGACCTTCTTGATCTATTCTTAGCGACCTTCTTGATCTATTCCTAGCGACCTTCTTGATCTATTCTTAGCGACCTTCTTGATCTATTCTTAGCGACCTCTCTGATCTATTCTTAGCGACCTTCTTGATCCATTCTTAGCGACCTTCTTGATCTATTCCTAGCGACCTTCTTGATCTATTCTTAGCGACCTTCTTGATCTATTCTTAGCGACCTCTCTGATCTATTCTTAGCGACCTTCTTGATCCATTCTTAGCGACCTCTCTGATCTATTCCTAGCGAACTTTGTCCAGACGAACCACTTGTGCTGGACGGTAGAGCGACGGTCTCGCGTCATGCAGGTCGACGTTTCCTCGTGTCTCAGCTCCTTGTCCTCGTATCCCGGATCCTTGTCCTCGTATCCCAGCTCCTTGTCCTCGCATCCCAGCTCCTTGTCCTCGTATCCCAGCTCCTTGTCCTCGTGTCCCAGCTCCTTGTCCTCTCCCAGCTCCTTGTCCTCGTATCCCAGCTCCTTGTCCTCATATCCCAGCTCCTTGTCCTCGTATCCCAGCTCCTTGTCCTCGTATCCCAGCTCCTTGTCCTCGTGTCCCAGCTCCTTGTCCTCGTATCCCAGCTCCTTGTCCTCGTATCCCAGCTCCTTGTCCTCGTATCCCAGCTCCTTGTCCTCGTATCCCAGCTCCTTGTCCTCGTGTCCCAGCTCCTTGTCCTCGTGTCCCAGCTCCTTGTCCTCGTGTCCCAGCTCCTTGTCCTCGTATCCCAGCTCCTTGTCCTCGTATCCCAGCTCCTTGTCCTCGTATCCCAGCTCCTTGTCCTCGTATCCCAGCTCCTTGTCCTCGTATCCCAGCTCCTTGTCCTCGTATCCCAGCTCCTTGTCCTCGTATCCCAGCTCCTTGTCCTCGTATCCCAGCTCCTTGTCCTCGTATCCCAGCTCCTTGTCCTCGTATCCCAGCTCCTTGTCCTCGTATCCCAGCTCCTTGTCCTCGTATCCCAGCTCCTTGTCCTCGTATCCCAGCTCCTTGTCCTCGTATCCCAGCTCCTTGTCCTCGTATCCCAGCTCCTTGTCCTCGTATCCCAGCTCCTTGTCCTCGTATCCCAGCTCCTTGTCCTCGTATCCCAGCTCCTTGTCCTCGTATCCCAGCTCCTTGTCCTCGTATCCCAGCTCCTTGTCCTCGTATCCCAGCTCCTTGTCCTCGTATCCCAGCTCCTTGTCCTCGTATCCCAGCTCCTTGTCCTCGTATCCCAGCTCCTTGTCCTCGTATCCCAGCTCCTTGTCCTCGTATCCCAGCTCCTTGTCCTCGTATCCCAGCTCCTTGTCCTCGTATCCCAGCTCCTTGTCCTCGTATCCCAGCTCCTTGTCCTCGTATCCCAGCTCCTTGTCCTCGTATCCCAGCTCCTTGTCCTCGTATCCCAGCTCCTTGTCCTCGTATCCCAGCTCCTTGTCCTCGTATCCCAGCTCCTTGTCCTCGTATCCCAGCTCCTTGTCCTCGTATCCCAGCTCCTTGTCCTCGTATCCCAGCTCCTTGTCCTCGTATCCCAGCTCCTTGTCCTCGTATCCCAGCTCCTTGTCCTCGTATCCCAGCTCCTTGTCCTCGTATCCCAGCTCCTTGTCCTCGTATCCCAGCTCCTTGTCCTCGTATCCCAGCTCCTTGTCCTCGTATCCCAGCTCCTTGTCCTCGTATCCCAGCTCCTTGTCCTCGTATCCCAGCTCCTTGTCCTCGTATCCCAGCTCCTTGTCCTCGTATCCCAGCTCCTTGTCCTCGTATCCCAGCTCCTTGTCCTCGTATCCCAGCTCCTTGTCCTCGTATCCCAGCTCCTTGTCCTCGTATCCCAGCTCCTTGTCCTCGTATCCCAGCTCCTTGTCCTCGTATCCCAGCTCCTTGTCCTCGTATCCCAGCTCCTTGTCCTCGTATCCCAGCTCCTTGTCCTCGTATCCCAGCTCCTTGTCCTCGTATCCCAGCTCCTTGTCCTCGTATCCCAGCTCCTTGTCCTCGTATCCCAGCTCCTTGTCCTCGTATCCCAGCTCCTTGTCCTCGTATCCCAGCTCCTTGTCCTCGTATCCCAGCTCCTTGTCCTCGTATCCCAGCTCCTTGTCCTCGTATCCCAGCTCCTTGTCCTCGTATCCCAGCTCCTTGTCCTCGTATCCCAGCTCCTTGTCCTCGTATCCCAGCTCCTTGTCCTCGTATCCCAGCTCCTTGTCCTCGTATCCCAGCTCCTTGTCCTCGTATCCCAGCTCCTTGTCCTCGTATCCCAGCTCCTTGTCCTCGTATCCCAGCTCCTTGTCCTCGTATCCCAGCTCCTTGTCCTCGTATCCCAGCTCCTTGTCCTCGTATCCCAGCTCCTTGTCCTCGTATCCCAGCTCCTTGTCCTCGTATCCCAGCTCCTTGTCCTCGTATCCCAGCTCCTTGTCCTCGTATCCCAGCTCCTTGTCCTCGTATCCCAGCTCCTTGTCCTCGTATCCCAGCTCCTTGTCCTCGTATCCCAGCTCCTTGTCCTCGTATCCCAGCTCCTTGTCCTCGTATCCCAGCTCCTTGTCCTCGTATCCCAGCTCCTTGTCCTCGTATCCCAGCTCCTTGTCCTCGTATCCCAGCTCCTTGTCCTCGTATCCCAGCTCCTTGTCCTCGTATCCCAGCTCCTTGTCCTCGTATCCCAGCTCCTTGTCCTCGTATCCCAGCTCCTTGTCCTCGTATCCCAGCTCCTTGTCCTCGTATCCCAGCTCCTTGTCCTCGTATCCCAGCTCCTTGTCCTCGTATCCCAGCTCCTTGTCCTCGTATCCCAGCTCCTTGTCCTCGTATCCCAGCTCCTTGTCCTCGTATCCCAGCTCCTTGTCCTCGTATCCCAGCTCCTTGTCCTCGTATCCCAGCTCCTTGTCCTCGTATCCCAGCTCCTTGTCCTCGTATCCCAGCTCCTTGTCCTCGTATCCCAGCTCCTTGTCCTCGTATCCCAGCTCCTTGTCCTCGTATCCCAGCTCCTTGTCCTCGTATCCCAGCTCCTTGTCCTCGTATCCCAGCTCCTTGTCCTCGTATCCCAGCTCCTTGTCCTCGTATCCCAGCTCCTTGTCCTCGTATCCCAGCTCCTTGTCCTCGTATCCCAGCTCCTTGTCCTCGTATCCCAGCTCCTTGTCCTCGTATCCCAGCTCCTTGTCCTCGTATCCCAGCTCCTTGTCCTCGTATCCCAGCTCCTTGTCCTCGTATCCCAGCTCCTTGTCCTCGTATCCCAGCTCCTTGTCCTCGTATCCCAGCTCCTTGTCCTCGTATCCCAGCTCCTTGTCCTCGTATCCCAGCTCCTTGTCCTCGTATCCCAGCTCCTTGTCCTCGTATCCCAGCTCCTTGTCCTCGTATCCCAGCTCCTTGTCCTCGTATCCCAGCTCCTTGTCCTCGTATCCCAGCTCCTTGTCCTCGTATCCCAGCTCCTTGTCCTCGTATCCCAGCTCCTTGTCCTCGTATCCCAGCTCCTTGTCCTCGTATCCCGGCTCCTTGTCCTCGTATCCCAGCTCCTTGTCCTCGTATCCCAGCTCCTTGTCCTCGTATCCCAGCTCCTTGTCCTCGTATCCCAGCTCCTTGTCCTCGTATCCCAGCTCCTTGTCCTCGTATCCCAGCTCCTTGTCCTCGTATCCCAGCTCCTTGTCCTCGTATCCCAGCTCCTTGTCCTCGTATCCCAGCTCCTTGTCCTCGTATCCCAGCTCCTTGTCCTCGTATCCCAGCTCCTTGTCCCATCGAGCAGTTCCCTCGCGGGTTCATGTCGCCCGAGGCCAGGAAGAGAGGCGGACTCATCGTCCACATCTTCATCACCATCTACATGTTCGTCGGCATCGCCATAGTGTGTGACGAGTACTTCGTGCCCTCGCTCGAGATGATCTGTGATGGTGAGTCCTTTGTTTCTTCTGTCCGGGTCAAAAAGTGCCCCGGTTTTAAGTGTCCTTGTCTAAAAGTGTCTGGGTTTTAAGTGTCCTTGTCAAAAAGTGTCTGGGTTTTAAGTGTCCTTGTCTAAAAGTGTCTGGGTTTTAAGTGTCCTTGTCAAAAAGTGCCCCGGTTTTAAGTGTCCTTGTCAAAAAGTGTCCCGGTTTTAAGTGTCCTGGTCAAAAAGTGTCCCGGTTTTAAGTGTCTGGGTCAAAAAGTGTCCCGGTTTTAAGTGTCTGGGTCGAAAAGTGTCCCAGTTTTAAGTGTGTGGGTCAATAAGTGTGGCCTGGTGCAGTAGGGCAGCCATACTGGGCCAGGGTGGTGTGGCTCTCACTCACACTCACACAACAAAAATGTTGCTTTGCCCCGCACACTGAGCAAGTGGCACGATGATGCAACAAACACATGAGCAAATAATAAACTTAATAATAAATGATGATAAATAAACCAAACTTAATATTAATTATTTTTAAACTTAATAAACTTTTTAAACTTAACAAACTTAATAAAACTTAATAATAATCGACCATAATAATAAATGACTCCCGCAAACACTTGACTAGTATTACAGTACAAACCAAACAAGTCAATTACAGCCTATATCAGTATATTAGTGTATAACACACTCCACTAATATAGTGGAGAGGTGGCAACCACCACCACAACCCCCGACACATGGCGTAGGCTGGTAGCAGATGTCGGGTGAAAGAGGCGATGATGACCCGTAGAGCACCAGAGACAGACTGGGCTCCATGGGTTGCGGGGCTCTATTTATACCCTCGGCTGGGTAGAGGCTGTATAACTGCTAGTTAGAGGTAGCAAACTGCTTGTTTGTGGAGGCTAACTGCTAGTTTGCAGAAGAGTGGAAGAGACAGTTTCACTGCTATTCAGGGGATTTATATGACAGCTCCCCCCTGAAGCCTCTTCCTATTGCCTGAGAGGTCAATGTTGGACGGATGTTGGAAGGTCGAGGTTCCACTTCATGGACACGGAAGATGGTGCATCTGCAACTATGTTGTTCGGTCCTTTGATGTAGAAGATCTTGTAATCCTGTAGGTACAGTGCCCAATGAAGTAGACGCTGGTTGGAGAATTGGGCTGGTTGTGGAAAATGAAGAGGATTGTGGTCAGGATAGTGATGGGTTGGTGTCCTTGAAGGGAAGGTTCATATCGTTGTCATTGTGTCCCAGTCGTTACTCCCCCACACTTTGGGTCTGGTAGCTGAGTGGACAGCGCGTGGGACTCGTTATCCTTTGTTTCGGTTTCGATTACCGGCGCCGTCAGATACAAATGGGCAGTTTCTTTCATCCTGATGCACCTGTTACCTACTGTAAATAGGTACCTGGGAGTTAGGCAGCTGTTACGGGCTGCTTCCTGGGTAGGGGGAGGGAATAGTAGTTATAGTAACAGTTGATTGATTAACAGTTGACAAGCGGGCTGAAAGAGCAGAGCTCAACCCGCGGTAGCACAAATAGGTGAATATACACACACACACACACACACACACACACACACACACACACACACACACAGATTACACAGTTTGAGATTACCAGCGGGGAAGTAAGGAAGTGTTTACTAGAGTTGGACGTGACGAAGGCTATAGGCCCAGATGGAATCTCCCCTTGGGTTCTAAAGGAAGGAGCAAGAGAACTGAGCCTACCACTCTCCATAGTGTATAACAAATCACTGGCAACAGGGGAACTGCCAGATATTTGGAAAGCAGCTAACGTAGTCCCGATATACAAGAAAGGGGATAGACAGGAGGCACTGAACTACAGGCCAGTGTCCCTAACCTGCATACCATGCAAGCTGATGGAGAAGATTGTGCGAAAAAAACTAGTGGAGCATCTGGAGTGAAGGAACTTTGTAACACAGCATCAACATGGGTTCAGGGATGGCAGGTCCTGCCTCACAGGGTTACTTGAATTCTACGACCAGGCAACAAAAATAAGGCAAGAAAGAGAAGGGTGGGCAGACTGCATATTTTTGGATTGTCAGAAAGTCTTTGATTCAGTGCCACACAAGAGGCTAGTGCGAAAGTTGGAGATGCAGGCTGGAGTGAGAGGGAAGGTACTCCGGTGGATAGAGGAGTACCTAAGCAACAGGAGACAACGAGTCTGTGTGAGGGGTGAGGTCTCAGATTGGCGAGACGTCACAAGTGGAGTCCCGCAGGGGTCAGTCCTTGGACCTATACTGTTTCTGGTATATGTAAATGATCTCCCAGAGGGTATAGATTCGTTCCTCTCAATGTTTGCCGACGATGCAAAAATTATGAGGAGGATTGAAACAGAGGACGATAGTAGGAGGCTACAAGATGACCTGGATAGACTGAGTGAATGGTCCAACAAATGGCTGTTGAAGTTCAATCCGAGTAAATGCAAAGTAATGAAAGTAGGCAGTGGAAACAGGAGGCCAGGCACAGGATACAGAATAGGAGATGAAGTACTTAATGAAACAGACAGAGAGAAAGATCTAGGAGTTGATATCACACCAAACCTGTCTCCTGAAGCCCACATAAAGAGAATAACGTCTGCGGCATATGCGAGGCTGGCTAACATCAGAACGGCGTTCAGGAACCTGTGTAAGGAATCATTCAGAATCTTGTACACCACATATGTAAGACCAATCCTGGAGTATGCGGCCCCAGCATGGAGCCCGTACCTTGTCAAGCACAAGACGAAGCTGGAAAAAGTCCGAAGGTATGCTACTAGACTAGTCCCAGAACTAAGAGGCATGAGTTATGAGGAAAGGCTGCGGGAAATGCACCTTACGACACTGGAAGACAGAAGAGTAAGGGGGGACATGATCACAACCTACAAAATCCTCAGGGGAATTGACCGGGTAAACAAGGATGAACTATTCAACACTGGTGGGACGCGAACAAGGGGACACAGGTGGAAGCTGAGTACCCAAATGAGCCACAGAGACGTTAGAAAGAACTTTTTCAGTGTCAGAGTAGCTAGTAAATGGAATGCATTAGGAAGTGATGTGGTGGAGGCTGACTCCATACACAGTTTCAAATGTAAATATGACAGAGCCCAATAGGCTCAGGAATCTGTACACTAGTTGATTGACGGTTGAGAGGCGGGACCAAAGAGCCAGAGCTCAACCCCCGCAAGCACAATTTGGTGAGTACAATTAGGTGAGTACACACACACACACACACAGCTTGTAATCCCATCTATGTTCGAGTACATTATCTTGAAACTGTCTCTTCATTCCATCCTCAGTTTCTGTTGATTCCACTGGGGTGGGGGACCTGGGGTGGGGGACCTGGGGTGGGGGACCTGGGGTGGGAGGGCCAGGGGTGTCGGAGGTGGTGTAGCCGAGAGGATCTGGTGTATAACAAGTCACTGGTGACAGGTGAACTGCCGAACGCTTGGAAGACGGCTAATGTAGTCCCGATATTCAAGAAGGGTGACAGACAGGAGGCACTGAACTTCAGGCCAGTGTCCTTAACTTGTATACCATACATAGTGATGGAGACGATTGTGCGAAAAAAGCTAGTGGAACATTTGAAGCGGAGGAACTTTGTAACACAGCATCAACATGGGTTCAGGGATGGCAAGTCCTGCCTCACAGGGTTACTTGAATTCTACAACCAGGCAACAAAAATAAGGCAAGAAAGAGAGGTGTGGGCAGACTGCATATTTTTGGATTGTCAGAAAGCCTTTGATACAGTGCCACGCAAGAGGCTAGTGCACAAACTGGAGATACAGGCTGAAGTGAAAGGGAAGGTACTCCAATGGATAAGCGAGAGGGTCAGTGTGAGGGGTGAGGTCTCGGAGTGGCGGGGAGTCACCAGTGGAGTCCCACAGGGATCAGTTCTTGGACCTATACTGTTTCTGATATAAGTAAATGATCTCCCAGAGGGAATAGACTCGTTCCTCTCATTGTTTGATAATGATGCAAAAATATTGAGGAGGATTAAAACGGAGGAAGATAATGAGACTACAAGATGACATAAACCGAATGAGCCAACAAAGGGCTTCTAAAGTTCAACCCAAGTAAATGTAAGGTAATGAAACTAGGGGGAGGAAACAGGAGGCCAGACACAGGATACAGAATGGGAGATGAAGTTCTTCACGAAACGAACAGAGAGAAAGATCTAGGAGTTGATATCACACCAAACCTGTCTCCTGAAGCCCACATCAAAAGAATAACATCAGCGGCGTATGCGAGGCTGGCTAACATCAGAACTGCCTACAGGAACATGTGTTAGGAATCCTTCAGAACCTTGTATACCACATATGTAAGACTAATCCTGGAGTATGCGGCCCCAGCATGGAGCCCGTACCTTGTCAAGCACAAGACGAAGCTGGAAAAAGTCCGTAGGTATGCTACTAGACTAGTCCCAGAACTAAGAGGCATGAGTTATGAGGAAAGGCTGCGGGAACTACACCTCACGTCGCTGGAAGAGAGAAGAATAAGGAGAGACATGATCACTACATACAAGATTCTCAGGGTAGAGAAAGATGGATTATTTAATACTGGTGGTACGCGAACAAGGAGACACAGGTGGAAGCTGAGTACCCAAATGAGCCACAGAGACGTTAGAAAGAACTTTTTCAGTGTCAGAGTAGTTAGTAAATGGAATGCATTAGGCAGTGATGTGGTGGAGGCTGACTCCATACACAGTTTCAAGTGTAGATATGATAGAGCCCAATAGGCTCAGGAACCTGTACACCTGTTGATTGACGGTTGAGAGGCGGGACCAAAGAGCCAGAGCTCAACCTCCGCAAGCACAACTAGGTGAGTACACTCCCCCACCCCACCTCCCCCCCACACCACCAGGGCAGGACGCAGGGAGGGAGTGTGAGGGAAGGGAGGGAGGGTGAGGGGAAGGGAGTGTGTGTTAGGGGGAAGGGATGAGGTAAAAAGAATGAGGAGACCAGTTTCCGGGAACACACAGCTGAGGAATGGGTAAAATATATCAACTTGAAGGTGTAGGGGAGGAGCGGGGG